ATCCCTCATAAAGTTGTTCATTCATTTCATTCAGCAACTTGTAAAACTTTGCCGCTTCTCCATTTGGCTCTTCATCACATCCACTTCTTCCAATCTCAGTGAAATCATTAACATCATCCTGACAATAATTTTCTGTATCATACGACTGATGATTGTGCATATTAAATGCATCTCGTAACATCCCTTCCATGTCATCTTCTCTAAAAGTTGGATGGGGAGAAGGAGCACGATAAGTCGAGTAACTCGTGGAAGCAGATCTATCTGATACAATCTCTCCATGAAAGATCCATTTTCTATACCCCCGAACAAATCCAAAAATTACTAGATGCTCGTACACAACTTCACGAATGTGCCAATTAATGTTCACACAATTCTTACAAGGGCAAAGAATCATATTTTCTTGGCTTGCATTCAGAAAAGCTAAATTTAGAAAGTTTTCGACTCTATTTCGATATTCGACGCTTACCCTTGAGAAATCCATCCAACTCTTATCCATTTCGTATTTCTGGAGTTTTAATTTCAAATGTTAATTGCTAATAATATAGATAAAATTAGAACCTAAACTGAAGCATTAAATTATCATATTTAGTGCATAATAATATTTGCATAGTATAAAAACTAATCACTCGTAAATTATACAACTTTTAAATTGATAAAATTGTATGGGAGCAAATGTATCTCAGTTAATTTATAAAAATTATAACGAGAATTATATACAACTGCATACTATAGAACTAAATACTTACACATGTTTCATCGAAATGTAGCATTTACATCTAAACAGACTCATGTTTCATTGTTACAGAGAGAGGCATTAAGAACTTAGAACGAAATATAAACCCTTCCCACAACCGTGTTAAGATCTATAAAACTTTTTACTTACATTTTGAGCAAACAAAGCTTATCATGCAACAAAAAAAATCTTTGTTAACAACAATGCAACAATAAAATAATTAGACTTTCCAGTTTTCCATGAAACATTAGCTTATTAGCAGCAAAATCCGAAAAGAAGGATGTGTTATGTAGGAGGGTGGGTGAACAATCTACAATTTTGCATTCGTTAGTCATATTAAGTTTATACAATGGGCCCTTAATAAGCTGGAAATTAAAGATAATGAACATAGTAAAAACCCTAATACATATGGCAAAAGACTATGTATTTATTTGTATTAATTTCGATACATAAGCTGAAAATTAAAAACCACCGAGTTTTGCAGGAGGAAATTCAAGATACAAAAGCAAAATTCACTAATCACCAAGTTTACCACATCGGAAAAAAAATAAAAGAAAGACTATGGTTTTTAGAAGGTCAAACGAAAGGTTAAACAAACTATAATAAGAACTAGGTCACAAAAAAGATATTAAACCAAATAAAATTCAAAATTGGAATCACGTACTGAAAAGAGAAGGGTTAGAAGAAGCAGTTCCAACTTAAGCTTCAAGAAGCTCCAAACGACATTTTAAACTGTCGAGCTTCTCGTTCATTTAATAAACATCATATCCAAGTAGCTCGATATCTGCTCTTTACCCCAAGGACTCCCAAACTTAGAATAATGAAAAATAACACAAGCAAGAATCAACACCCCAACCAACAGCAGAGACACAATGAAAAACTAAGACTGTTGGATAGCTGCCTATTGGTAGTACAAAAGCGCACTAAACAAAGTCACAAATGGTGAAAGAACTTTAAACTTAGTACTTCATTTACAGTATTCTGTACGAAATGAGTGACATGATAACCTAACTTGTGGTAACAACGCAAAGCCCTTCCGTAGCAAACCTTTGGAACCCTTAACCTTGTGGTTCAAAAGACCCTACAAAAATTCAGTTTAGTTATCCAATCGAACTGAAGTCACGGTAGAGCTGAAATACCTCAAGATTGCATTCAATTCAACAATCTCCAAATTTTAAGCAGAAACTGTATAGCATCAATAATCACAATGTTATGTATGATTAAATGACACTTGATGAAAACGCATAAATTCATCTAAATCCTAAAACCCTGAATTATTCCCAACATAGTCATAATAAAAAAAATCCAAATAATACCAGCTCAATAGTTTCAGATATGACCCAATTTTGCATAATTCAACAAGTGAATAACACACCTTATCTCGTATCAAGCCCCCAGAAGGCTCTAATTCCTAAAACTCAAATGACATTTCAATGAAAGAAACGCTAAAGTTATCAACATGTTGACTCAAACAAAACCCGGGAAAAAAAAACTTATCCATGATACACCAACGCTCTCTCCTAAAACAAGAAAAGAGGGCCACTTAGCAGCTTGAGATTAGGTAATGATTGTACATACCTTGTTTCAAAGCTGAGATTGAGATGGTCAAAAATTTGTGACTAGAAATTGACGACAACAGCTTGATACCCCGCGACGTTGATGATTGGTGGTGCAACAATGGTCACCCGCGGCGTGATGGTGGCGAGTGGTGCACCGATTTGTCAAGTATTCACTGCTAATTTGAGGAAAAAGATTTGGGGATAAAACAAATAAGGGATTCGGGCTGCAGAATTGGGGATATCTAATAAATTAAAGGACAATTACGGCGTTTATATTAAAAATGCCACAAAGGAACTATTCTATTACGGCGTTTATTACAAAAATGCCACTAAGGGACACACTATTGCGGCGTTTATGTCACAAACGCCACTACAGTACAACTTAGCGTTTATGACACACTAAACTATTGTGGCGTTTATCTAAAAACGCCACTATTGATTAACACTATTACGGCGTTTGTGGTATAAACGCCGCTAATTTACCGATATATTGCGGCGTTTTTTAACAAACGCCGCAAGAAACTACACTATAGCGGCATTTTTTGTAAAAACGCCACTAAAGTATTAATTTGTGGCGCTACGATTGTAAACGCTGCTATATGTTTAACTTTTGTGGCGTTTTCTTTCCAAACGCCGCTAAAAACGTCGCTACATATCAGTTTTGCTGTAGTGACCATAATGCCCTTTAATCTTTTCATATTTGATAATAAATATTGGACAACAATTTCCCAAATCAGTCATTGAACTTTTTAATTTATCAAAATTAAACCACCAAATATTCAATTCTTACTCTTCAGTCACTGACCCGAAGTTTGGGGTGTTATATTTTCATTAGGAATTATCTCTTTATTTTAAGAATTATATTTTCCTTATTTTTTTAGGATTTTGAAGACTATAAATACCCTCTCATAGTAAACCTAGAAACACATTCAGAAATCATTATTCTTCTTTCCTTTGGTTTTATAAAAAATTTTCTTTTCTTTTTCAAAGTTCTTCTTTATTTTATTTTTATTTTATTTTCAAAGATGCTAAGTATGATTGTCATAATTAGCTAATTTATCCAAAGCCAAGGGCAGAAGCGATGACTCAATCTCTATTGTAAGGATTGAAAAGCACTAAAATAACTTCGAATAATTTTCTCAATTTTCTGGATGAATAAGATTGGTAATCGACCTATCTTTTTAAAATCAAAACACTTTTTAATCAAAAAATCGACGTTGGTTCGGAAGTTGTTATGATTTATAGTTGGGAGGAAGAATTGACTGGTAGCAAGTTCGACTTCCTGTGAACACACTTAGCGGTTGTCCGCTAAGGGAAATTGAGATTGAGCTCGATTCTCATTGAGGCAACATAGTCTGAGTCGGGGTTTTCCATATCTATAAAACAATTTGGCGCTAACGACGATAATCGTAGTTAGTCTTCGTAAAGGACTGATATCCAAAAATAGATTTTGGGTTATCGATTAACAAGAGAGAAAAACAATTTACAGAGGTTGGGCCCTGTAAACTGTAATTGGCGAATAACCGAAGCAAAAATTTATTCCGGTGATCAATAGAAATTTGAGGCAAAAGCTGAAGCTAGAGACTAATTTCACTATAAGTTTCTTTTTATCTCAATCACTTTAAATTATTTAATTAATTATTTTCTTTTATTTAATTCTTATCTTTTATTTTTAAAACAACTTTTGAACCCCCTATTTAATCTCATCCAAAACTCTACCTTATCTCATCATTTTCTAAATCAAAAGGTTTACTTCATTAGAAACATCAGAGTCCCTGTAGACTCACCCTGCTTCCCTACTCTACTCTACTCTCTCTCTTTATTTATTTAGTTATTTATTTTTAAGAAGTCATAATTATTTTGACAGTAAAACGACACATGTCAGTTGAACAACTCGTGAATTGCTTGAATTCGATTAGATCAAAATTCGGTTAATGATTGATTTGGATTGATTCGATTCAAATTTTAGCTCGATTCGAGACCTTAACAAGTTGAGTCGAGTAAGATCTACCTCAACTTGATAAATTCGTGAGCAGTTCATTAATCTTTTGTAGTTTTTAATAGTTAACTTAAAAAATACTTCATTAAAAAAGTAAATCTAATTATTAATTTATTGATATGCAAAATTACTAATTTATTAATTTTTTATTTTTAGGTTTATTTATGTATTGTTAATTTTTTTTTAGGTTTGATTATGTATTGTTAAACTTCAATTTTTTTAAATGAAAAGGAGGGAAACAACATGTAAAGACCCTAACGATCTTAACACCAATTACATCAGATTATCTTTATGGAGAGCATTGAAAATTTCTGCAGTAAGTTGATGAAACGTTTGAACACCTTGAGGAAGATTCCACACAAGCTTGGCCAAACAATCAGCTACCCCATTACATTCACGAGGTGTATATCGAAATACTACCCTCCAGTTTCTCCTGATTAGAGTAACATAAGGAATCATAGTCGAAGCTCCTCTTGATTTCGTTAACATCAATAACCATTTTGCTGTCTGTCTTAACAATAATTTGTCGTAAATTTAAATTCCATGCAAAACATAAGCCCTCATAGACACCCCTTAATTTCGCATCAAGGACAGAGCAGCAACCGATAGTTTTAGAGAAACCAAACAACCATTCGCCTAAATGGTCTCGAATGACACTACCACCCAAACCAGAGTCCAAACGGCGAGCACCATCCGTATTGATTTTAAACTAACCCATAGATGGAGGTTTCCATTGGATATTTCGATTAACACGAGCAAGGCGAGGTGCAGTCCAAGTTTCCTGAGTCATCAAAGCACTCACTGTTTCTCTGAGCAGCCTCTTACTTTGCTGTAAAACACTGTCTGCAACCATAAAACCCCTGTCAAAAATCATTCTATTACGGCGCATCCATAAATTCCAAATCACCAACCCAAACAAGATCTCCCAGTTTTCAGCATCTATCGGATAGTAGGTTGGGTGGCGTAAGTTTGTTTCAATCCAGTTCACTAAATCAATGGAAAGGAAGTCATCAATAAGTTCAGGTTTAACTACTATGTTCCAAACTGAACGAGCCTCAATACAATCCCGGAAAATATGAGAGGATGATTCAACCGCAGCGCCGCAAATAGTACAACTTGGATCAGCAGCCATTCTTCTCCTTACCCGCTCCTCATTTGTAAGAATTCAACCCTTGCAGAGAAGCCAAAGAAGGGTTTTGACTAGGGGTAAAGCATTATGTTTCAGACTTTCAGTAAGAGATCCCATACTGTCAAAACAGTATCCGATGTATCTAAAGAGCGTCGAGAATATGCGCTTTTGACAGTAAAACAGCGTTGGCTATCCCACCTCCAACCCGGAATGTCTGCATCACTGATCGACCTGCCGAGAAGTAAGGAAAAACTGAAGGTGGGAAGGTTGCTCTAATTCGATCCCAATCCCAATCTCCATTAGCATTAATCATTGAAGCAACATTAACATGGCCGATAGAACTCGCCTCTTGGCTAATGCTCAAATGCCTCACAGGTCCCAAGTCACCTAACCAAGAGTCATTCCAAAAATCCACAGTTTGCCCATCACCCAAAGTCCAAATCAAGCCATTTCTAACCTCATCCTACACCATACTAACCCCTTCCGTAATATATATTTAACTTACCTAAGTGATTAAAGAAATTGTTGTTATTTCTAAAGATTATAGGTTGAAGCACCAACGACTGCAAGAGTAATTAAACGTTCATTATCAAATAATTGAAAGTATTTAGAACATATACTACTTTGTAATCATCTTTAACTTAATCAAAATATAAATATATATATATATATATATATAGAAATTTCACTATTTTATAACATGCAGTTATCGTAAGTCAATTTACAACGTCTAACTTCCCACTTTCACGTGTTTAAAGAACAAAAGTCATCTTGCCCTTCTCTCTTTCTCTCACCAGTGACGGTAGCACCATTGTCCTCTCCCAATAATGACAGTGGTACTCCCGTCGACGATATTAATGGGTAAATTTATTTCTTTTTCTATCATCATCGTCCTTTCGTTGAATTTCATTTTTTTTCTCTCAGAAAATTAAGATTAAAGACTACTTTGGCAAGGGTTGAAAGGTTAATTTTGTCTTGTACGATGGATCAATGAGACAATGAACAATCACTCAAGTTCATGTTTCCATTTTTATTTTCGCTGTCGTTTAGGACGACCGTTTTGGAGTCAGAGGCTGTTAGTGTTGTATTATTGATTTATTTGGGAAGCTAACCCCACCCAAGTGTATGTTCTCAGATCAAAATATTGCTTACTTGCTTGATTCCATTGATTTGGAGCCTCTTTCATATAGATTATTCCATTGCTTATTGCCCCTCCAGCTCAGATCGTAGAGCGCAAGGCTCTTAACCTTGTAGTCGTGAGATCGAGTACTACGGTGGGCAATTCATAATTGCCGAGTATCTTCCACGGAAGTTACTCTCAACTTAGCGATGGGGGCCAACCTACATATGGAAATAAAGTCAACTAATTTTTTCATATAGATTGTTCAATGAATTTGGTATTTACCTGTATCATGCAATATATATATATATGTCGCAACCGTCTTTCGGTTGGGCCCCGAAATTGGGTTTCGACTTGAAAAATATGGATTGGAGTCGCCACCGACCACTTTAAAATGAATTTAGGTGGGTCAGACATCATCTTACCTGATCTGCGTTGTACCAGAAACGTGTCGGGTTTGGGAGTCGGTTACGGTCAAGGAAGGATTAACACCCTTGAACCGCCCTTTCGGTACCAATTAATTTGCCGGTTGTCTTAGTTGCGAAAATTCGCAATTTAAATTTAAATTTAAAAATTCAATTCAAATTGGTTACCTTTGATAGATTGAAAGTATCCTTAAAAATCAAAAATGTCATACAATAAAAAAATTAATGTTAAATAAATGAAAGAAAAAAAAGAATAATAAAATAAAAAAACAATAATAATTGGTGAACCTGACAAGTTAATGGCAAACTACTCTTTGAAAGTAAACCACACTTTGAAAAGAATAATAATAAAATATAAATTAATGGCGTGAACCCCACTCTTTGAAATTTTTTGCACTGGCACCAATAAATTCCATAGCTATTTGTAAATGATGACAAATAATCTTTGTCATCTACTTTTTATGTCAAAGATTCGGTGAGGCTTGTTGCTTCAGTATTCTCTAAGCCCACTATTGTTAGATTTTAAACAGAGCTAGTAATGAAAAACCTGTGAGGAACGAGAGTAGCAGTGACCCTGTTTTGGAGTCGGATCTCGGAACGGATGAAAGTGGTGAGCTTATCAAAACGCGGTGGACAGATGAGGGAGCCATGAAATGGGACTTGTGGATCTTGCGACGAGAGGAGTAGACTTGTGGGTTACACTTTATTTTTGCAGTGGCTGAATTTACTAGAAAATGGTATGTGATGATTGAATCCTTCTTGAAGTACTTAGTATGGAAGAATTCGACAACTTTCTCTAAGGCATCTTCTTCGTCCTCTTCATATTTGTCGTCAGCCGCCAATCGGTCCCTCACGGCACTCTCTAGCTGCACTCCATATTGGGATCCTTTGATTTCCTTGATCATCACAACTCTCAGAAATTTCTCCACCGGAGCATTAATAAGAGCCTCAAAGAAGTCATCTTCTGCTAGCACGTTTCCAGACTTACCCTTCCATTGTTGCAAGTGTTTAACAACTTCAGGTTCAACGTAAACTCTGATCGATGTGCACTTGATTTGCAGAAAGTGAATCTCAATATCGGTAATCCCATGACCAAAAAGTGAGAGTGGCTTGGTGGTTGTGATTTGGGAGGGGAAAAGTATCTCATCAACCATCACCATTTCAGTAGCCATAGCTATGTCTGCTAAAGGTTGAAGGCAGGCAAGGAAGCAATGCAAGGGCAAAGCTTGTTGAGTTTCAGAGTGCAATCGAGAATTCAAAGAGTGGTTTGTGCATTTATACCAAAACATTAATGGCAGGAACTTAGAACAGCAACATTTCAGCGTGGGATAGCTAGTATTTTTTTGTTCCCCCCACGAAAATGCCACGAAGCTCCCCTTTTAAGTTGATTTCAATCACTCCAAATTAAGGTCTGTTGCCTTCGTTTCCCACGTCATTTGCTCCCTGATGCATGTGGTAGTGGAGTAAGTGGGTAGGTTTGTAGTTGAGATAATGGTGGGTAGTGGGGCTTGCAAAAATAAAATTAATAGAATTAATAATAATAATAATAATAAATAATATTTATAATAACATGTATATATTTTTTTAAGCCCGGTCAAAAACTAGTGTCTACAGCTGCCCCTCTTTGCACATTTTTGTGTTAACAAGAATAGGGCAAAGATGAAAAAGACAACAAGTTTTTGTCTGGTTTTCTTTGATTTGAGACTTGATAGTGTTTGTTGTGACACCAAGTCAATCCATTGGGCACGATATCTTTCGTTGTGAAGTTGAAATTGGCTCTGAAATTGGGAAATTATTTATTGACAACCAGCGGTCCCTTCGTCGTGAAGTTGAGCTTGCGTTGTCTGGAGTCCAATATCCTTCGCTGTGAAGTTGAAATTGGCTCTGAAATTGAGAAGTTGTTTGTTGACAACCAGCGGTCCCTTCGTCGTGAAGTTGAACTTGCGTTGTCTGGAGTCCAATATCCTTCGCTGTGAAGTTGAAATTGGCTCTGAAATTGAGAAGTTGTTTGTTGACAACCAGCTGTTCCTTCGTCGTGAAGTTGAACTTGCGTTGTCTGGAGTCCAATATCCTTCGCTGTGAAGTTGAAATTGGCTCTGAAATTGAGAAGTTGTTTGTTGACAACCAGTGGTCCCTTCATCGTGAAGTTGAACTTGCGTTGTCTGGAGTCCAATATCCTTCGCTGTGAAGTTGAAATTGGCTCTGAAATTGGGAAATTGTTTGTTGACAACCAGCGGTCCCTTCGTCGTGAAGTTGAACTTGCGTTGTCTGGAGTCTAATATCCTTCGCTGTGAAGTTGAAATTGGCTCTGAAATTGAGAAGTTGTTTGTTGACAACTAGCGGTCCCTTCGTCGTGAAGTTGAACTTGCGTTGTCTGGAGTCCAATATCCTTTGCTGTGAAGTTGAAATTGGCTCTGAAATTGGGAAATTATTTGTTGACAACCAGCGGTCCCTTCGTCGTGAAGTTGAACTTGCGTTGTCTGGAGTCCAATATCCTTCGCTGTGAAGTTGAAATTAGCTCTGAAATTGGGAAGTTATTTTTTGACAACCAGCGGTCCCTTCGTCGTGAAGTTGAACTTGCGTTGTCTTGAGTCCAATATCCTTCGCTGTGAAGTTGAAATTGGCTCTGAAATTGGGAAATTGTTTATTAACAACCAGCGGTCCCTTCGTCGTGAAGTTGAACTTGCGTTGTCTGAAGTCCAATATCCTTCGTTGTGAAGTTGAAATTGGCTCTCGAGCAAAATGTGTTGTTTCGAGAGAAACTTTCAATCTGTCGAGTTGGTCGAAGTGTAGCTTCTTACTGCCGAGTTAATCAACCACCATCCTTCTTTGAAGGCGCTTTAGAATCGAGTATCCTTCATCCTGAAGTCAAAACTTGACTCTAAAAGCTGCAAAAACGTGTATGCTAAAATGATGAATGTGATGCACCTAAGATGCATGCAATATGAATGAATTATGTGTTATCTTCTGGATGGAGTCTCGTGCTTTGTCTGTCAATCAGGTCCTTAGAATCGATCGTGCCCCACTATCTTCTCGAGCTTTGGCTTTACAGACCTTTCAAATCTGAGACTACTCTGTTTGAAAAATGTTTTTCTCTTTTTTCTTGTTTTAGGAGAAAAAATGTTGTAAAATATTGTTGGCAATTGAATCAAATTGTAAACGTGAGTTCAAAGAATATCAAAGGAATCAAGATCTTTTTTAATGCTTTTAGAGTCACAGCTCTTTGAAAAATGTTCAAATGGATGAGTTGGCCTTAGGTTGGCCTCCTTTCTAAGGTTTTGGTAACCCAAAATGTCATTTTTTAAATATCGCAACATGCTTTGGTATTTCAATTGGGTGCGGACAAAATGACGCAACTAGCATGATCAATTACTAGACCTTTTATTTCGGTCCTCTGAAATCTTCCATTTGTTCAAGCTTTGTAGGCTCCTCTAACGAAGGCAGTGCAAAAATATCGGTCTAAAAATGAAATTCTTGAGTGCTCGTGTGAAATTGACTATAACAGGTGTTCCTTAATTCCCTTAGTCCATTTTACCGAAACTTTATGCTTAGATAAATTCGATTTAATTTACCGTTATCTGGCTAGCTGAATCCATAAAGCCAGGGTATTTAACCAATTGCTTTAGAGGGACAACTTATCATTATAATCATTTTTATCAAGTTAACTGAAGGGTTCATCTCATCACAAAGTCTTCGGCCTGACAAAAGCAGTGGAGCAAACACCGAATTGCCAAGTGTCCGAGCAATGTCATGGTTTGAATGACATCTATTCATAAAGCCAGGGCTTTCGAGTTTCCTCTCTAACCAATTGCCTTAGTGGAATAGCTCAGTTTTACGGATTAAATTTCTTAAGATTGTCAAGAAGAACCTGTTATAGTCTAGGTGTTTGTTGAAAGTAAAAAATTTCATCTTTAGAGTTCAATTTTCAAGCAACTGACCTAAACTAGATTCACTTACTCGACTATTCCATCTGTGAAGATCATTATCATCACTGAACGTCTTAAATAAAAAGTATAATAATGTCATATGCAAAATGATGCCCCATGTTGTCCGCACCTTATGAAAGGAAAATGTTATATTGGTTAATTACAAGAGCATGGTACGGTGTTTGAGTGTATATTCTGGGTAAAGTCAAATTCCTTGTTTTAGATCATGATACTTCGTCAAAGATATGTAACTTTGAACCATTTCAGAGTTTCTTAATTCAGATGATATTCAAAGAATTGCAAGTTTGCAAATGTGATTCATTGTTTAACATCTTTAAAGTAACATAAATTTATTTAAAAGTCCTTACAAAAACTTGAGAAAAGAAAAAAAAATGAAAAACAAATTCAAACAAAATGTCTCAAATAATGAAATGGTCTTCCTCACTTGGATGCCCCAAGTTGTTGAAGTCGATCCGATTCTTGTTACGTATTTTATGTATGATTCTCTTGATTGTGGAGTAATTCTCGATAGTGTGCCCTAGGACTCCGCTATGATTTTCGCAATGAGCGTTCTCATCATACTACCTGGGGTACGGGGCTACATGGATTTCTCTGGATATGGTGACACCACGTGTGCGTCAAACAACTGTTGGTAAAGCTCCTTATATGTCATAGGATCAAAATGTTCTCATTTTTGATGAGACATGTGAATGTAAAAAAAAGGAAAAATAATGCGAATGTAAAGAAAAATAACAAAATGCACAATATGTCTGAATGCATGATGCATGAAATGTTCGAGGCATTGATCCAAAAAATGTACCTGTTATTATAAATAATCCTTATTGGGGCAAAAGTGTTACGTCTTAAGAGACAAAAATATTTTGAATGCATAGACCCCGAACAGCTTCTGATAGGTTAACTAGTCTTCTGCCTTCGTCTGTCACCGGTTGAATACCCTGTCAAACCATTCCAGCTCCTTTGGCTAAAATGTGCAAATAACGAACTGCTTGCCCCCAAAAGGTCTCGAAGAACTACATCTCCGGCTTTCACTATCTGCCGAGCTTGTTTCTAACGAAAATGCCATTGGAGCGAGAGAAACTATCCAAAGCTTGCTTCTTGAATTCATCAGCAATGGCATCCAGCTCAGCTAGGGTTTCACCATCTTGTTCTTGTAGTTTTCGAAAGGAGCGACCGGGTCAGTGACCTTTTCCTCGTCTTGCCCCTGCAACTTTGTCTTTGAGTATTCTTTGACCGCGGTTGGACTTCTGAGTTTTTTTTATCTCTTTGTATTATAACCCCTTTGTCCGTTAATACAAATTATTTACGTTTAACAAACACATTTTTGGTGGATCAACACCTCGTTTTAATGATGCGAATGATAAAAAAAATGCCAAAGAAAAAAATTAAAAGGGAGGAAAAACAAGTTAGTGAGATAAGGAAAATAATAAAAAAATGATGAAAATGAAAAGTCCTACCCCACATGATATCTACCCCACATGCTTATTATTCCTACCCAGACATGATTTCTATCCCGCATGCTAATTTCAAACAAATCCTAACCGCATATTTGTCTAGTTCGCATGCTTGGAGCAGAAAATATAGCAGGAAATAAAAATAGCCTAGGGTTTGGAATGAGGTTTTGGGGTAGGCTCTAATTCCCTATACTCTCTCGGTTTAGGTTCTAAAAAAAGTACCCGAGTTCTCCACGCTGGTGCCCCTTTGGGCTTGCCAGACCCTTAGTCCTAAGCCCATCACAGGCTTGTGTGAACTAAGTTAAACTCGAGAGGACATATTCCCTTATGCCCGCACGGTGAATAAATCCACACGAAGACATAAGGTATATGAATCCCGAAGGCTACTTGCTAGGCCCGCACGGTGAATAAATTCACACGAAGGCGTCGCTTTCACCCCCACTTAAATAGGGTTTAGAGCTCGGTTATAGAGCCTCAGATGAAAACTTTGAAAAATCTGAAATCATTAAAAAATGTTAATACAACTATTTATTTGAAAAATAATCAAAGGTAAATAACTGGAATCGAAAAAATAAATTTAAATTTAAATTTACCATTTTCGCATAAAAAGACAACCGAAAATTAATTTCAGCCTGACTCACTTACCTGTCCCCAGCGGAGTCGCCAAGCTGTCGCAACCGTCTTTCGGTTGGGCCCCGGAATTGGGTTTCGACTTGAAAAATATGGATTGGAGTCGCCACCGACCACTTTAAAATGAATTTAGGTGGGTCAGACACCATCTTACCTGATCTGCGTTGTACCAAAAACGTGTCGAGTTCG